ACTGAGAAAGGGAGAACCAGGCTTCCTGCTGAGTAGGGAACCCAATGCAGGGCAGGAGCCTGGGATCATGACCTGAGCCGAAGGCAGCTACTTAACAACTGAGCCACCCAGGCACCACTCCAGCAAACATTTAAAAAAAAAAGTTAATACCTTCCCTTCTTATGTATTTCCCCCAAAATTTGAAGGAACACTTCCAAACTAACTTTACAAGGGCAGCATTACTCTAATACCGAAATCAGACAATGACACTACAAAAAACCACAAAATTACACACCAATATCTCTGATGAACATAGATGCAAGAATCCTCAATAAAATGAGCAGGGGCGCCTGGGTGGCTCAGTGGGTTAAGGCCACTGCCTTCAGGTCATGATCCCGGGGTCCTGGGATTGAGCCCCGCATCGGGCTTCCTGCTCAGCAGGGAGCCTGCCTCCTCCCCTCTCTCTGCCTTCTTGTGATCTCTGCCTGTCAAGTAAATAAATAAAATCTTAAAAAAATAAATAAATAAAATGAGCAAACTAAGTTCAACAATACACTAAAAATCACACAGTGTGACCAAGTGGGATTCATTCCAGGCACGCAAGGATGCTTTATCATTCACGAATCAATGTGATACCCTATATTAGCAAAATGAAAGATAAAAGTTATATGTTATTAAAATAGACAAAAAACACTTGAGAAAATTCAACATCCATTTAGGATTAAAAACTCTCAACAAAGTTTGTACAGAGGAAATATACCTCAACATAATAAAGGCCATATATGACAGATCCACAGGAAACATTATGCTCAATGGTCAAAAGCTGATAACCTTTTCCTCTTGATCAGGAACAAGACAGGGATGCCCACTGTCAACACTTTTATTCAATATGGTATTGGAATTCCTAGCCACGCCAATTAAACAACACATAAAAGGTATCTAAATTAGGATGGAGGAAGTAAAGCTTTCACTATTTGCTGTGGACATGATACTATATATAGAAAATCCTGAAGACTCCACCAAAAAACTATTAGAATAAATGAATTCAGTAAAGTTGCAGGATACAAAATTAATATACAGAAGTCTGTTGGATTTCTACACACTATACTTCTAACAAAGTAGCAATCCCATTTACAATTGCATCAAAAAAATACCTATGAATAAATTTAACAAAGGAAATAAAAGATGTATACTCTGAAAACTTAAGAACACTGAAGAAATTGAAGACAACACAAATAAATAAAAAGATATACTATCCTCATGGAGTGAAAGAATACTGTTGAAATGTCCATACTACCCACAGCAGAATGCCAGTGGCATTTTTCAAAAAACTAGGACAAATAATCCCCCAAAATTTTTTTAAAAGATTTTATCTATTCACTCGACAGAGATCACAAGTAGGGAGAGAGGCAGGCAGAGAGAGAGGGGGAAGCAGGCTCCCTGTGGAGCAGAGAGCCCGATGTGGGGCTCGATCCCAGGACCCCAGGATCATGACCTGAGCCGAAGGCAGAGGCTTAACCCATTGAGCCACCCAGGCGCCCCTAATTCCAAAATTTGTATGGAACCACAAAAGATCCCAAATAGCCAAAGCTAATCTTAAGAAAGAACAACAAAGCTGGAGAGTCATGATCTCTTATAACTGTACTATAAAGCTATAGTACTCAGAACAGTATGGTATTTGCATGAAGACAGGCACATAGATCAATAGAACAGAACAGCCTAGAAATAAACCCAAGCTTACATGGTCATCTAAACCATGACAAAGAAGGCAAGATCATACAATGGCAAAAAGTCTCTTCAATAAATAGTGTCATAGACACTGGACAGCTACATGCAAAAGAAAGAAACTGGACCACATTCTTACACCACAGGCAAAAATCAACTCAAAGCGGATTAAAGAATGCAGTGTGGGGCACCTGGGTGGCTCAGATCGTGATCTCGGGGTCACGGGATTGGACCCTGTGTTGGGATCCACACTGAGTGTGGAGCCTACTTAATGAAGAAGGAAAGGAAGTAAGGGATGTAAAGGGTGGGGAGGGAGACACTGGAAGGAATGGGAGGGAAGGAAGGAAAAGAAAAGAGAATGGAATGGAAGACCTGAAACCATAAAACTACAAGAAAACATAGGTAGTAAGCTCTTTGTCAGTCTTAGCAATTTTTCCTGATTGGGGAGGAATCTGTCTCTTCTGGCAAGGGCAACAAAAGCAAAATAAACAAATGGGATTACATCAAGCTAGAAAGCTTTCCCACAGCAAAGAAAACCACCAACAAAAGAAAAAGGCAACTACTAAATGGGAGAGAAGATACTTGGAAATGATATATCTGATATGGGGTTGATACCTAAAATATGTGAGGAACTTATACAACTAAGTAATGGCAAAGAAAAACCAACCCAATTTAAAAATAGGCAAATCACTGGGATAGACATTTTTCCAAAGATATATGGCCAACAAACACATGAAAAGATGTTCAACAACATTCTGCATCAGGGAAATGCAAATCAAAATTACAAATGAGATACCACTTCACACCTGCCAGAATGGTAGTATCAAAAAGGTAAGTATTGGTGAGCATGCGCACTGTCGTTGGGAATGTAAATTGATGCAGCTACTATGGAAAACAATATAGAGGTTTCTCAAAAAATTACAAATAGAACTACCCTATGATCCAACAGTTCCACTTCTAGGGATTTATCTGAAGCAAACGAGAATACTAATTCAAAAACACATATGGACCTCTGTGTTCATTACAGCATTATTTGTAATAGCCCAGATATGGAACCAACCTAAGTGTTCATCCACAGATGAATGGATAAAGGTACACACACACACACAATGGACTATTAACTATAGAAAAGAATGAAATCTTGCCATTTGTGACAACATGGATAGACCTTGATATTATGCGAAGTCAGAGAATGACAAATACCATAAAATTTCACTTACATATGGAATCAAAGAAAAAACAAAACAGAAACAGACTCATGGAAACAGAACTGGTGGTTGCCAGAGGGGAGGGAGAGCGGATGAAATAGGTGAAGGGGATTAAAACATACAACTTCCAATTACAAAATAAGTCATGGGGATGTAGCGTACAGCAGAGGGAATATAGTCAATAATACTATAATAACTTTGTATGGAAAAGATGGTAACTAGACCTACCTGATCATTTTGTAATGTATACAAATATCAAATTATTGCACACCTAATAATATTGCTTATCAATTAGAATCTAATAAAAAATAAAACTGATAGAAAACAAAAACCAAAAGCTTCGGCCTGGTGAAAAGAAGTCAAGGATAAAAATAAAATCTTACAAATAAGAAATAATAAAGTCCCATGAACAAGTATAGGATTTCTCAGCTGCACACTGGAAACTGCAGTACCATGGAACATTACCTAGACTTCTTAGGGAAAAAAAAGATAGCTATGACCTGAGAGCCTGAAATATTATGATAACATTTACTAATCAGGGTGAAGGAATGTTATTCATAGAGCTGCAAAATTTTATAGACTATTTCCCATGTGCCTCATCTATGGAAAATTCTTCAAAAAGGACTATTCAACTGTAAAATAAGCCAGAATAGCAACTTCAAAATCAGGGAAGATGAAGAGAACAAATAGTAATGAGCAATGACTCATGCAATGTATGAATAATTAAGTCTGAATAGGTAATAGTATAGTGACTAGGAATTGGTAATGTTGTAAATGCTAAATATTCTTTCTTTGAAAAAAAAAAACCTGTGTGACTAATAAAATATAGGACTATAAAACACCCAGCTTTAGTGCTCAGAGTCTTACTTTGAATAACCAGATTCACAGATTTACGTTAACTCCATGCTATCATGGGACATCCGGCATGGCAATCTCCAGTCTAGTCCGACTCCCTCTATTTGCCCGTTTGGATAATGACCTGGTTCCCTCCTTGATGCCAGCTATGTACTATCAGTGATGTGTAGTGCCTGCACATAAATAGGATTGTGAGAAAAGCACTTACTGGTTAGGTTTAAGCATTGAAAAGAGAGTCAACAGCACTGGGATTGGGGGTGGTCTCTACACCAAGGTATGGGCTAGATTAATCAGTGAATTTGAGGCAGTGATTTGATTACAATATACAAAAATTATAATAACTACTCTTTGAGTGTTTCTATGGCAAGGACTTAATTAGAAGTGTTATATATGTTATTTCATATGATGCTTAGACAGCCTATAAGGACAGATTAGTATTATCCTGTTTTTCAGGTGAGGAAACTTAAGACTCAAAAGAGTAACTTGTCCAGGTCTCATAGCTAGTAACTGCGTGAGGTGACCTTTTTATGTTTTCAGTACTTCCCCCTATACAGATACGAAAGATTTGAACTACTAGGTCACGTGTCTTTGGGGATTACAGTCTATGTTTGGAAATAACCTAACACAATTTCTTCACTTGCCTGAGCTTTCTACTAGGGGCAATGTGTAATTACGACAGTCAGTGGACTCTATGTACTAAACTTTGAGGGCTGGAGAGGGAGTTGAGGAGTACGGTCTGGGGGAAGGGGACCTCAAACAGAACCATTAGAAAACAAAGCATTCATCTGTAAATTATTGACCACTGAAAGCCTACAACAGCCTAAAATAGCACATACCATTAATGATGATGGGGATTAGGGATCAGAAACTTCATAGTTGGACATGGAAAATGATATTTGACATTTTAAGGGAATACTATTTGGTTTAATTGGGAAACAGGAAATCTCTTACGCTTTGTTTTTCCTTCTAAAATGTCATAGCTGAAAATATAAATAACTTCCAAGTCTTGAAAAAGACTCTGGGTTCTCACTGACCATTTTAGGAAGGATACAGAGAGAACATTATGCTTTATTTGTAATTTCTTGTCATGGAAAATATAAGCAGTAGGTCATTTAAACCAACAAATCTGGTTTTGGGTTTTGGTTCGTTATGTTAACAGAACCCAGACATCTGTTCATTTGATATTTCCCATCTTCTGATCATACTGACTTTTATTTTGTCTTTTATTTTCAGAAGGAATTTTGGAACACCTACACAAAAGCACAACAAGGAGAGAGTAACAGAGGAAGTGACTGGTTTCAGTTTTACCTTACCTTTCCATTAATCTTTGGCCTCTTTATTATCCTTCTGGTCATTTTTCTAATTTGGAGATGCTTCCTCAGAAACAAAACCCGCAGACAGACAGTAACTGAAGGCCACATTCCTTTCCCACAGCACCTTAATATCATCACTCCGCCTCCCCCACCAGACGAAGTGTTTGATAGCAGTGGATTGTCACCAGGCTTTCTGGAATATGTAGTTGGGCGCTCAGATTCCGTCTCCACTCGTCTATCCAACTGTGATCCCCCACCCACCTACGAGGAAGCCACTGGCCAGGTGAACCTCCGGAGGAGTGAAACAGAACCTCACTTAGACCCACCCCCAGAGTATGAGGACATCATTAATTCCAACTCAGCCAGTGCCATTGCTATGGTGCCTGTGGTCACCACCATCAAATGAAACTGCAACTTTCTTTTTACTATAATCATTTTTAAAATACTAATGAAAGAACTTTCTAGCACTTTACCACTACATAAATGTGCATTGACTTATTTTATCAGACTCTGACAGCATACCACTTCTCATTTTCTGATTTAATTTTCATTAGTTTTGTTCCCTACTATAAAATCCTTATCCATGCCCATTTTCTCTAATGGAAATGTGTGAAGAGGGAAAAACCTTAGTGGAGGTCTTCACGTGATGTGATGAGACATACATGCATGTCTATACACATGTGTGTATGGGCACATCAGCCCAGTACATGTACAAGTGTCTTAAAAAGTCATTACCTTCTGTCTAAATCACCTATAAAGAGAATATTCCTCCCAAATTGGGGGGTGGCGGGGAGACACTAACCATTTGTGTATAGCCGGCCACATGCTGTTGAATTTTGAAAATAAGATGAACTTGGCATATTCTTTAGTTCTTACTGGCTTTTGTTAACATCCCCTTTTCTTCAAATACCTTAAAAAAATGCATGTATTCCATCTTGATTCTAGGAACATCTCAGAGAGAGAGAGAGAAGGAAGGCAAAATAAACAATAATTTACTTACAGTGTACAGCAAGAGTATCATTGGCCATTAGTGACATTTGGCTAGTTTTAGAGGAAGGATTTTGTTGACCGCCTTTCTCCACCCTCCCACCCCCAAATTAAACAGTCTTTGCTTAGTGTCTTTGAATGTCTCGTGCTATTTGTATTAACATCTTGGTAGAGAGGATTTCCTGGTAACAGAATAGTGTCTGAAGCAGTTACATGTATTAATGACAGGGAATAGATACAGATTTCTCCTTAGCTCATTTGTGACAATAATTATTTTCTTTTTGCTGTTTTATTGCCTTTTACTCTGTCTACTCTCTCTCCTACCACCACAGAATCTGTAAGAACCTAAGAATTTAGTTAAAATTCTTGAAATTATTTTCTTAGTTTTTTTATAGACTGAAGTCTTTGCCATGAGATGATTAGGAGGTATTTTTCCATTAAATTAAGAACTGTGATTTTATATTGCTCTCCAGTTGGTGGAGGAAAACTGCAAAGTCTATGTTGTGCCAGGTGCACAATAAATCTGTTACAGTTTCACATAGATCTCATTATTGTTGCTATTTCATTTTGTATTTTCATCATTTTTTTTTAAGTGCAGGATTTTTCTTTTCCCTTGGAGTAGAGGGAACAGGCTGTGAATGAACTGCCAACATAAACTGGCTAAGAAGGGCTGTTTCATACAAAGTGCCATCATGTATGCACTGATGGAAAATTCATTATATTGGTCAGGGGAATGTCTGTGCCACTCCCAAGCCTCCTTAGTGTTGGAGAACATGGTTAATTGAGGCAGAAGGCATGCAGGTCTGTAAGCATCGGCCATATCCTGTTGCCTCCATCTCCATCCCCACAGGCCCCTCCCTCAAATCCTGCCCTGGAGCCCAAAAAGGAGGAATGCTGGGGGAAAACCCTGAACTAGGAGTCAGATGATCTGACTTCTCATCCTGTTCTGTAAAAAAGGTACTTGCCATGGTACCCTGGGAAAGACTCACTCATATCTGCACCTGATTCCTTAACTCTGAAACAGATAATGTCATTTGTCCTGCCCATCTCCAGGGGCTTTAAAAGGATCTAATGAGATGGTGTGTATGAAAGTAATTTCTAAGACGCGAAGAGCTATGTGTGAGGTCATAGCATTGTTCTTACTGTGCTTAAAGGAGACTTTTCTCCATGTCCCTAAAATTCATCAGAGCTTTCACATAGTGTGAAATAGAGGCGGCTGCTCCATTAATGGCTAACATGCTCCTGAACTGAGTATCTAGGCTATTAAACGTCTGTCACTCTCTGGTCTATACCAATGCTGTGCCAGTTCAAGAGACGACAGTCAGCTTAGTGCAAACAAGATTAAGCAGATGCTGGAAAGGGAACTAAGACATAGGTGTTTAGTTAATAGGGTTTGTAGCTTTCATGAACTAAAAATTAATAAATCTTGACCCTAGTCTCAGTAGAAATGGCCATATTATTTTGAATTTTACTGTGAGCACATGGTGACTTTGGGCTTCTAGTTACAGCTAAAAGTGGGAGTGTTTGATCCAGTGACTTCTGTGTGCATGTACGACTATTTTGGTTTATTTTTAAAGGAAAATTAAGTTTCCTTTTGTGTGGGCTTTTTTTTGGGGGGGGGGTCATTAACATTAGACCTTAGATGAAACCAGCAGTTTTAAAGTGTGGCTGACCCTTGAACCCCTGGGAATCCTTGAGAGCCTTTCAGGGAATCTGTGAGATCAAAACTTTTCATAATACAAAGGCATTAGTTGTCTTTTCACTCCGTGTCTCAAAAAGCAGTAGAAAATGTAAAACAGTGCCATTTCCCACAAATTTTTTTTCTGCTTTAGGAAATACAGCTATTTTCTTAAAAATTGTATTTATGTTAGCATGTAATAAACTTTAATTTTTGAATACTTAATATTTTTCAGTTTTATTTTCTAATATGGCAAATATTGATGGATATAAACTATATAAACAAAAGCTCTTTGACATCCAGGTATCTAATAAATTTTAAAGAGTATAAAGAGGTCTGGAGATCAAAAGTTAGAATTACAGGATTAGAAAAGGGAGCAGGATATTCTATTACTATGTATATATTCTTGCAACTTTATTTTACATTTTAAAGTCCTGATATTGGATTTAATGCTGCCTCTTAGAAATACCTGCATTGCAATATAAGAATGGATGTTGGTTCCTGAAGCAAAAGCCAAATGCTTAATCTAATCAACAGCTACAGTTTTTTCACCTGTCCGTCAAAGAAAACACACCACTCTGTAGTGGTAACTGACACCAGCCACAGATCTCATGGCAGCATTCATGGGATAATGACAGGATAAACAAAAATACCATTTTCTTCAAGAAATATTCTCTTAGATTCATTTTGTTTGATTTTGACCTAGGTTTTACATTTTTCAAAACCCTTTTGCTATCCCATCTGGTTTTATAAACTGAGTTTCTTAACATTTGTTATAATTAAAGAGGCTTGTCTGGAATAATATATATTTTTTATGCTTTTGCCTTTCTTACATGATTGATATTACATTCACCTTTGGTCATTTTAACAAAGGTTTATTTTTGCAGATATATTTAGTATCTTTATTAAGCAGTAACTAAATTATATCAACCAGTTTGCATTTAAATGAGAGAATGGGCTTAATGGTCTTCCAGTGGAATGATTTCCAGGCCTCCACATGCAGTGGCTGTGTCTGGAATCCTAGAACTGGCACTTTCTAGCTTTCTGCTTGGAATTATATCTGTTTAAAGTGAATTAAAGGATTTCTTTTTTTTTTATTGACCAGTACAAATACAAATGCTGTGTTTGATTCATTGTTAATGATGACTTCAAGATTGATGATCTGATACAATAACTTGGTTCTGTGTAAATAGCATGTATTTTATTATAATTCACATTTTTAAACACTTGGTTTACATTAAATTATGGTATTTAACTATTTTTATGTTTATACTAGGTAAGTTTTTTTCTTATGTTTCTGTGTTTTTGGTATGCTAAATAAAGCTATTTTTAAACCCAAGAGATTTTTTTTCTGCCATGTATTAATTATGGTTAGGTAAGAATCATGCTTCATAAGCTTTTATTAATTATGGTCTTTTTAACAAGAGAAAACGGTTTCTTTTCTTTCTTATGAAGTTAAGAAATATTGCTCAGCAAAGAAATCAGAAATTATCTGGTGAAAACTTCAGGGTGTTTTCAGGATAAGAAAGAATTTTTTGTACTAACTTTTGAATGATGTGGGCATGATACAAAATGGGGCCACTCACTCCAGGGAGACCTTCCTGCTGTAGTATAGTTTGTTAAGTCTTGGGCATAGTGTTGTCTGCAGATACCAAGGAACTGCTTTTTTCCCTCCGTAGCAGCTTGCATTTGACATTTGAGAAGATAAGAAAGGAAAGCATAAGATGGAATCATTTATGACCACAGGACATCTTCCTAAGTGTAGTCACCAAAAAGACTAAAAGGTGATGTGATGAGTCATTGATTAAGCAAATGCAAATATGATTTGATCTTTATGGTATAAATATTAAAATGTTTTACTTATAATCTGTCTTAACATTTCTCCTTGACTATAACTGTGAGTATTCATTTTGTAAGCATAAATCCCAGAGAGTTGTCCAAAATATCATAAAAAGGTAATTTTAAAAATATACAGCAATTTCTAAAAATTATGTGACTTACAGATTAATACATCCATGAAACCCAACACCTAGATCAAGATATTTCTAGTACCCCAGAAGGCTCCCTCATACACCTCTCCCTAAAGATAACACTGTTCTCTCATCTATCATAAGAGATCAAGATTTTAAATTTCATACTTGGCTGTAGCCTTAAGCCAAAAGACTTGACTTGTCCTTTTTTAAGTTATTTCAAAGTAGACGTTCGAAAGCTGCTCATCCATCTCTTGGCTCTCCTTGAATCTATTCCTTCTCTCTAAGCCTTTTCTACGTACCTGAAGCTCTTTGAAGTCAAGAATTATGTTTATTCCTTTTAACTCCCTTCCCCCCAATACATGAAATACCTAAAAGTGAGGGCTTTTTTTAAGCCCATGTATTGACCAAAATACAAGTAGTTTTCTGTCTTAATGCTTATTTCTGCTGTAATTCTTAGCACCTACCATTTCCTTAAACTTTGTATGAGGACATTTTGTTCTCAGTAATTTTATTTACTTGTATTTTTTTTCAGACTTCAAAATCCACTATTATCTGGTCCCATAGGCTTATCTAACCTTATTTCCTTACACAGCTAAGATAATAGATATTTACAAAGTGCCTACTTTGTGTGAAGCTAAGGTGGTAAGAAAAGAATGGTGCCTATAGACATCATCTCTAGGGATTTTTGCAATTAGGTTAAGACTGGGAAAAACTGGGGCACCTGGGTGGCTCAGTGGGTTAAGCCGCTGCCTTCGGCTCAGGTCATGATCTCAGGGTCCTGGGATCGAGACCCGCATTGGGCTCTCTGCTCAGCAGGGAGCCTGCTTCCCTCTCTCTCTCTCTCTGCCTGCCTCTCCATCTACTTGTGATCTCTCTCTGTCAAATAAA